CATTTGGACAGTCCAACGGTATCACATCACGTCTGACAACAATATATTAACAGGAATTACAGGAAGTTTTCATTTAGCACACATCCTAGGGATGATGAAACAATGCATGGAAAACCATCCTACTGATACAACAAACAATCCCCAGTTTCACTTGTATGAGGAGCAGGGAACCACTAGCCAGGTGTCTGTCACAATCACGTCCCTGAAAGGCTGGGCACCTGTGCGGCTCACGTACCATCTGTGTCCTTAAGAACAGCATTCGTGAACCTAAGCAATCCCTAGCCCCAAACATGAATACGGAAATATGACCACTAAAAAAAAACCCAAACAAAACACAGCCAACCCTCAGTTGTCCACTATGAAGGAAAGTATGAACACAGGTGAATGAAAATACACAAGTGAACCCCCCACCTCATTTCAACAGATAATGACTGGTTGAAACTCCACCAACAATAGTGCTGATTGCAGGTAAATGGTGAAATTGGAGTCTCACTTCCTATTCTTAGTCCTGTCGTTCAGTGAGAGGAGACTGCTTTAAAAACTGAAATGAAAAATAGTATCAGAAAGTGGAAAAGAGAACCGCAATTGGAAAGTTCAGTTTGTCTACCAGCTAGATGTTCTCACAGAGGTTTTGAACTCTTTTTGTCTAGAATGTTCGCAAAATGTATTTTTCTCTATTCTTCATGAAAATTATGTGCACAAACATACAAATCAGTGTAAGGAATCTATTTTGTAGACCTTTTTAAACAAAATGTGAGTTACAGTTCGCACACAGCAAAAGCTCCCTTTTCCCTAGCACTGAGAAAGCACCATATTATGAAAATTTCCCTTCATAAAAAAGTGTGTGTGTGTGTGTGTGTGTGTGTGTGTGTGTGTTGGGAGAGACAACACCATGTAAGTGGCCCAAGTGTAAATATTTTAATCTACCGAAGGGAATTATTTGTTGACTGGAGTGTCAAGCATTTCTGTAAAGGTTTATAAGACAAACTACATTTATTCATGAAATAGCAATAACAATAGGTACATATATTTTAGATAAATTCCCCAGACTGTTGCTGCCCCCTTAGGGGATACTGTAATTCTAGAATCTGGAGCCCTTTAAGTGCATTACAGGGAGAACAATTTTTTTTTTTTTTTTTTGTCATCATACAGTTTATCTTTGACCCAATTTGTCCCAATTCATTCGCGAATAGGATACAGGTTTATGTCTTTAAGTGGCTTTGGTCCAAAAATGACTTTAAATACAAAGCAATCCAGAAAGCTGACCTGACTGGTCCAGCTCATCGGAAGGACTTCTCCAACTTACTTGCAAACTCTGCAAGCGCAGGTAGTCTACACAAACAGGCAAAGTGAAGCCAAGACGCAGAGGTTGTATCTTTCAGAGGGTGAGGAGAAAGGCCACGGGGGTCAAGTTGCTCACATGCTACCCTGACCTAGCACACTGAATGAGTATACACACAAAGGAACACAAAGTTTGAAACACCAGTCATGCAATGTCTCTAAGTTACAGAGAGAGGATCCTTCAGACAGAAAGACCACTTCCTAAGTATCCCACACCAACAACACCTGGTTGAGCATTCCAATAGTAGATGAAAATGTTTAAGACTTTTTGGTCTGAAAGGGTTTTAGTCCTGACTTCAAGGTAAGATTTAGCTCACAGTTTTTCACCTGCAGCAGCCACCTCAGCCTTGGGAGAGCTTGGTAGAGTCTGGAGACATTTTAAATACAGTCTGACAAATGCCACCTAGTCAACCTAGGAAGGCACAGAACATACTGTGTGCTAAGATATACAGCGGACTGAGCCCATCATGATGAGCCTCTGAGAACAGACTAGACTACCACACTTGAAAACTCATGTTGCTTTAGGGAAGTTCAGTTAATAATGGAATATTTTATTAAAAAAATACATGAAAGTCTATTATCAGCATAGACATAGTTAGAATTGGAGGCTTAAATTGGTGTCTGAGAAATGACCAGTGTGCTTAACAAAAGGTCTGTCCTTCATCTGGATAAGAGTTAAATAGGTGCCGTGTACATACTATGTGTTTGAGGACATAGGGATCTTGGAGAAGTTTGGTTATAGTTTTTAGTATTTACACTTCACATTTATCATAACGATGTTGCAGTTTTCTGCCATGACCAAAGGCATCATCATCCCTCACTTGACAGATAAAAGTCTTAGCACTTAGTTACCGGGCAGCAAAGGGGTAGTGACTTGAAGTGAACCTCAGCAGGAACTGTAAGAACCTACTGTCAAGTTCACCAAGGCAGTAGAAGCTGGGGAGGGGCAGGCAGGGTAGGGAGGGGGAGAGGGCCGCAGCAATGAGCTGATTGACTGCTCAGAAGCACTTGTTCTTAGGACCCCAAACATGGGATGCAGCACTTAAACTGCCACCTTAAGACATCAGAAATGTCATGCACCTTCTACATCCATTCACATTCCCCCAAACCAAATGCCCATCCACTCTGAGGATAGCTGTTTACGTGAAGAACTTGCCAGTGTAGTTTTTCAATGACATTAAGAATGGAAAGGAATGGACCAACACCAAAGCTCTTGGAAGCATTTGCTCAATAATCAGGGTTTGTCTCTAAAAAAATTGCAGGGGTGAGGGTGATGAGAAGACGGGCAGCAGGGAAATTCGTTCTTGAAAAACTGATTGAATTGCATCAAATACAACAGAAGATGGGTGTTAAAAGTGTACAGACTTACCCCAGCATGTACTTTTTGAAGGTATCTTGATGTTTAAAATACAAATTTAGTTAGGCCATTGGTAAAAAATGACTTGTGGTTATTTAGGCTGTGGTGGGAGTTGGAGAGAACGTAGGAGGTTAAGTGTGTGTGTGTTGGTGGCAAAAGGGCTAAGAAGCCTTGCAATTACCCTGCTACAACTTTTAATACGGTTTGATGACAACAGCGCCCCGTTAACCCTGCAGCGCTACCTCTTACAACAAAGATTTAATTTTAAAACTAAAATTGCTTTATGAAACGAGGAATAGAGAATATCCTCTCTTCCCACAAGCTTTATAGCAGAAACATAGGTGTGCATTTACCCAAGCTCTGTGACAATCCACTCTGGAAACTTCTCAGTGAAATTCACACCAGCGTGGGAGCTCCGGGACAGAGAATGAACTAGGAAGGCTCCACTCACTTCCACAGAGGGTTGGAAAAGAGAAAGTATCCAAAGTTCCTTGGCCAGGACACTTGGCCCTCATGCTTCCCTGACTGGGATTAAAGTAGTTCAGCGTAGGCATGCCTGACACCTACGTGTGATGTAGGCTCCTGACTTGGTCTTTTGGCTGTAGGGCCAATTAAGGTCATTAGCAATGACGTTTCCAGGGAAGGGGTTTACACAAGGCACAACTCAGCTCTTGACCTTCCACTTTTCTCACCCTGATTTTCCTTGCCCTTATACAATACTCCGTAGAGGAAGGGGCTTGTAAGAGCCCTCTGACTTAGGGCTCTTAGATCTTAGGTCCTTGACATCTGCATGTGTGTATGGGACTCAGAGCACAGGGAAGTTTTCTTGGCCTTATTGCTTTATGCTAGATTACACAAGTTGAGTTTAACAGCTCTAGCCTTGGCCATGGCCACATTCTTAGGCAGTTACAGAAATACTGCATTGTCATGCAAATAGGCTTCTGTTGCAAACTAGTCTCCTTTGCTTGCCATGCCCCTTTCTCTTGCCCTTCACTGTAAGTTCTGTGATTTTTTGAAGTTTGTTGGCCTATTAAAATCTACTAAAACATTCTTGCCTTGCAGGGTGCCAAAGTGGAAATTTATTACAAATGCATGGATCTTAAGCTCAAGGTGAGAAATGACCCGGGTTTTTTGAAAACATCCCACAGGTACTCTTCTGTAAGTTTCATCTTCTAACTTAGTAATAATGTATGTGACCTAGTTCCTTGACTTGGAGGTGGTTTTTATCCAATGACATGCTTAGCTATCAGTAACCTTGCGCAATAGACTTGCACCCAAAACTTACACAGGAACTGTGTCTAGTTATGGAAAGAGGAAAAAAAATCTTGACCATAACCACCACCGAAGGGCAACAGGAAAATCACCCTAATGAAACAGTCCATCTAAATCTGCCAGTCTGTGCCTGCCTCAAGTCCAGTATCGTGCACAGTTAAGGATGACATTTTCCTTCTGCGGTTCAATCACAACAGCTGGTGAGATTTGTTGGCTTGTTATTCTCAGTCTTAGAAAATCTGGGAGAAAAAATACGTGTATTCAAATGGTTTTCTCCCCCTGCCCCCACTAAATTGCTTCTGGTGTCCTAAAGTGTTGGTTCAACTTATCTTAACTCTAAAGAGTATGTCTCTCAGTAACTTAAGCACCTGTAAAAGCTTACAGAATGGGGAGGGATATGCTTTACAATTGGGAACAATGGGATTGAAAAAGACTACAGATAAAAATTGTCTTTTCCTCAACCTTAGAGCCACTGGGATATTGTTTAAATCTATTGGGTAAAAAGTCAGGTGAAGTGTGAACAGAAGGCACCGGTTGTGGAGGCAAGTCTCTATCCCACGGGAAGAGGGGCTCTAACAAACTTCAAATTCATCTCTATTCCACGCCTGAGTGATGGTTGAAGAAAGTGGTGGGGATGGTGTGTATATAATGGGGGGGGCAATTATTAGGGAATTAGGGGGAAGTCAATCCTTTGAGAAGTCTGCAGCCATTCCTACCCTTCTTGGTTTAAAGACTCATTACCTAATGCCTTCGGCCGATGCCTGTGCCCTCAAATATTCCGAATGTTGGCCCCGAGTTAGGGTCATTGTTTACGTACATAATTAAGAAGGTGGATTAAATCTCGTTCCAGTCTGGTAAATATGATCGTTGAATATTTACCAGACTGGAAGGAGATTTAATCTCTTAGAAAATTTGCAAGGGTTTCAAACACAGTATTTCTATTTCTTTATAGTCACTGGTCTCCTCAATTATTTAGTAAGACTGAAAACCAGACACATTTCCTGAACAGTAAACTGACCAGACCCATGATGGTCTCCTGAGATCTCCTCCTGCCCCCACACACAAGCAGTTCCTTGGTTATCATCCTTACAAAGCGAATCACAAATTTGAACCCATGGCACAAAATTCAGGTGTAGTGAAAATACAGTCTGAGGTCCCAGCAGTAGCTTAATTTTGAGAAGAAATCTGAAACAAAAAGAGCCTACAAAGACAAGTAACAAATTACATGCAAATACCAGATGTTTATAGATGGATAGTCCTTACAAAGTTGAGATCACATATTTGCCACATTATTAATACAGGAAATCTCCCACAAACTGAATGTGTGTATGAGCCACTGACAAAGATTTCCCTCAAATAATTACTAGGCAGTAGAAATGAAGGTTAATCAACCATTTATAAATGCTGTTTGTTGGTGATGGGCCCCCTCAAACTGCCTGTGTGTGTGGAGGGGGACATTAACAGCCACAGTTGGGCTGTGGCGGAGGAGGGCTTTCCTTGAGTCTTGTGTTCTGCTTGGCGGCAGTGATGGCCGGATCCGTCTCCAGACTCTCAGACATTTTGTCGCAGATGATATCCACAAGACGCTCAAACGTCTGCTTGACGTTAATGTTATCCTTGGCACTTGTTTCAAAAAATTCAAACCCTGGAAGAAACAGAAACACAGCTTGGTCATTTTACACTCCGGCTGAAAGTAAATGGGACTTGATTGTGGTTTTCCCTGGTGATTGGGGGAGACCTAAGAAGTGGACCTAAGACACAATTTGAACAAATGCTGTCATCTTGCTACCAATTCTTTTGTTCACGGTTATGTGGACATTTGATTTTTCCCTGCCAATTTATTTATGCTACCAGCATGGCTGAATGAACCACCAAATCTCTTCGCAAAAGTTTAGTAAGGGCAACATTAAGAATCCTCCACACTATGTCTTTGTCCTCCCTTCCTCCAGCTCCTGGCCACCAGGAAGCTTCTTGGAATCTTTTCTAACATGTGCGATTTGGCCTATTTTCCTTATTCCATTTCAGATTCCACCACTATTGTTCATGGACATGTTTTCATTAACCTGAGCCTTAGAAGACTTCATCTGTATATTCTGCTGCGAAAGGGACTATCGAAACCCCCTCCGACTCTTCCTGAGCCTGCCATGCTGCGGCCCCACCAAGGATGGAGGGTGGGCTTCTGGTAAAGTTTCAGTACCTAACTGGACGCAAGGTGGCACTACAGAGTCAGTGGAGTTAACCTTAACGGTGCTTCGACCTCCTTTTGGAGATTTTTCTGTCCTGTTAGGGGAACAGCTCTCCGTGGCTTTGTCTACCACTGCATCTACCTACTGGTGCAGACTTTTCCTGGGCTTATTCTCTATCAGTAGCAGTGTTTTTACTGACATCTGGAAAAGGACATCTGATATATTTCAAACAAGCTGCCAGAATTGTAAGAAGGTACAAAAAATGCGGTTGCAGTTGCACACTTCTCCCCATCACTGGACCTGGGCAGGAGCAGGCTCCGACTGCTGTTCTGTACACAATCTTATCACTCTATTGTTTGCCTTCACATTCCATGGGCTCAGCTTGCCAGTTAGTTGCCATGACAACCTCCCCAGTCCATTCAGGGGACTTTGATTTAGGATGTACTGGGCAGGACACAAAAATGCTTTCCTAATCCATTCTGATTTTTACGCCCTATAAATCCTTCTGGTTACATCTGGCCCTATCTCAGAGGAGCCACATGGATTCAGAATGATTAAATCATGTGATTTCATCTCAGCTCCTGGGACCCAAGGAGAAAAAAATGGACTCATATTTTACATTCATGTCTAAACCTCTGATAATCCAGAAATACTTTGTTGTTCATGCTTCAGTATTTAGTAAAATAAGTATTTCTCTTGAGTTAAAATTTCTAATTTAGTTATGATCGATGACTAGTTAGAGGACTATATTTGAGCTTGAATCCTGTTAGCTATTGTGTATTCTATTGTTAAAACATAAGTGAATAATTGCGGGATTGGAGTTAAAGGAGCATGAGTGGGACCAGTTTCTGTAAAATTCCACGGGATAGTTCAGACCTTCTTTGGCTTGTAGTTTGCTTTCTAGTCTCTGTGGCGGGTGCTTATATAGCTCTTTAACAGTCTGGATTTCTTAGCAGAAAACACGAATATAATTCTCTTTCCTAATGTTTTTACAGTCATTTGTCTTACAACAATTTGATCCAGATTTTGGAGAACTCAGGTATGGATCCAAACAATATCCTTATTGTGAAGATGTTAGAACTATTTGCATCTTACCGGGGATTTTCCCACTGCTAAGTGCTGTCACAAGATACTAAGACCCCACTGAATTAGTTAAGATCCCTGAATAAGACTTATGAGAAAAAAACATCCCATAATTGGGCACAAAGTTTTCGTGTACAGATTCAATTTTCTCATCTCTTCTGCTAACACTTAGTTTTCTTCCTAGTGCTACTTTGGGAAGGCACTGAACTTGAAGGTATCATAAAAGATTTGGCCATTGTGACAAGATGGTAATCTAGGTAAGTGTCTGTCAAATGGGATTCCTTAAATCTGGGCTTTCAGACACACCCTGCTGCTGGTGTACAACTTCAGGTCAGTAAAATGATCCTGAATGCTCTCAGGGACTTGACCAGGAAAATAACATGATATTATACCAGTTTTGGATAGAAGAGGGTGCCACAGTATGGTAAGCGAGAGAGATTTCCTGTCTTCTGCTTGGCAATCCAACTCTCCCACCATGTCGTGTTTTAATGACCCGTTATTTATGACCTGTGCCTTACTTTGTTCACAGAGCTGTCATGAGGCTCCAATGAGACAATGTAGGTAGGTACAGGTCCCCAGCAAACCACACATCGCTATGATAATAGTAATAATAAACTCCTATTTGAATTGTTAGAACAGGTACTATTGAAAACCCTTGATATATTGTAACTCATTTTATCCACGAGGTGGATGCTAGTATTGAAAAAATTTATTGGTTAGGCAATGGAAGCACAAAATCATCGAGTACTTTACTCATTTATTTGCTCAGTCTGTAATGGTGAAGCTGGCTTTGAACTACTAACCTGGACATTCTCTTGCTCCTCCAGATACCTGCAGAAGTAAGCAATTACTTGGTTCCAGCTGAACTGTAAGTTCTATGCTAATTAATAACTCCGCTATATATCATAAACTTTTATATTGAAGTAATTAGAAAATAATAACTGAGAAAAACCTCTGGATGATTTCAAGGTACTCTGAGACCTTGTGCTGCCTAAGATGGATCAAGGGGGCCATGAGACCAGCTGTACTGGCAGACCACCTCATGAAAGTGAATTTTTTGGTTTTCCAGTCTATGGAAGTCTCAAAAAATGCAAATAACTAAATTGAGAAATACCGTATGGCTTAAAATTGTTAACCATCTGAACTTTCAGTGAGTATCAGTCTTTTTGCTGGGGGAGGGTCTTGCTTCAGTGTTGATGGATGCTGAGGGTTGGAGTGGCTGGCAATTTCTTAAGACAATGATGAAGTCTGCAGCATCGATGGACTCTTCCTTTCAGAGCATTTTTTTTTCATAACTGGAGTCCATCCTCTCAAACCCTGTCACTGCTTTGTCAACCGGCTTGAAATGACAACAAAGGACTTATGATATAACAATCTTAATGAGGAGTAGATTTCACTTCAAACCAATTTCTTTGCTCATCCCTAAGAAGCAACTCCTCCTCCATTCAAGTTTGACCATGAGATTATATCTTCAGGCTCCACTTCTAATTCTCCATGGTTACTTCCTCCACTTAAGTGCTGAAGCCATCAAAGTCCTCCATGAGTGTAATCCACTTCTTCCAAACTCCTGTTAATGTCAATACTCTCTCGATCTCTTCCCAGGAATCACCAATTTATGTAGTGGTATCGAAAATGCAGTATTCTTTTCAGAGTGTTGTCAATTCCTGTGCCCAGATCCTTTATGGAAGATAGAGCCTTACAATGTAGAAGGCTTGAAAGTAGCGATGACTCCTTGATGGTTCATTAGAAGGCTCGAAAACAACATTCATCTGGTGGCACATCTTCAGCAGAGCTCTTGGGTGACCAGGTACATTCTCAATAAGCTATACTGCTGTGAAAGGAAATTTTTTTTCTGAGCAGTAGGTCTCAACAGGGGGTTTAAAATACTCCCTAAACCATGTTGTAAGCAGCTCTGTCATCATTGAGGTGGTGGTGTTCCATTCCTAGAGCAGAGAGTGTATGTAGCAGAACTTTTAAAGCCCCTAGGACTTTTGGAATGGTAAATGAGCACTTTTCCGTTATGGAGATGGCTTTTTCCCTTAAAACCAGAAGCTAGCTGAGGTTGGTTCAAGAGGTTTGCTTCTGCAGCTCCACTCTCAGTTATGCTTTGGCTTAACAGAATGTTGTGGCTGGTTTGATCTTCCATCCAGAGCACTCAAAGTTTTTCCCTATCAGCGATAAGCTGTTAGAACTTTATCATTTGTGTGTTCACTGGGTTAACACTTTTAACTTCTGTCAAGACTTTTCCTGTGCATTCACAATTTGACTGTTTTGTGTAAGAAGCCTAGCTTTTGGCCTGAATAAGCATAGTAAAGAAGACCTATTGCATGACTTCATCCAAGCTAAGGCCCTAAAGGAGCTAGTTACACTAGTCACATCAAAGATCATGTTCACAGACAACCATACAAATACAAAGAAGTGATCAAATACCATTGGAAAAATGGTGCTCATAGACATGCTTGATACAGGGTTGCAATAAAACTAGCTTGGCGTCCATCTCTACACTGAATTAGATATAAAAGTTTCTGGAAATGGTTATTTTAGCATCTAGTTGTTTGGATTCAGGGCAGATGCAAGTTTACAGTGCCATAAATGATCCTCTATCCAGTTGATTCATAATCAAATCTTTTTGAGGCCACTCACCCCCTATACCTATGTATGCTCATGGGTATGTAAAGCCCATGGCCTAAATCATAACAGATTCAAACACCTCACCCTTTACTCTTCTTTGTTGGATTTTTAGGGCCATTCCCTCCCAGTATTTTAACTTCAACCATAGCAACATGACCTTATTCTTAGAAATCTTGAACCTCTTATCTATATACACGGACATTAGGGAGAAGCCTGTGCTTCAATCAGGAACCAGAGTTTTTCTTACTAAACTTATAACATCATTTCCAATTTACTAGGTAGGCCAGTGTGGTTCTGCAGTTTAAATAAGTAGGCCAAGGTTACACAGCAAGCTGACTGTGAAGGCTCACAGAAATCTCCTGATAACTAGGTTACTGATATAGCTTCCAGCCTTGGACACCTGTCCCTCAGACTTGATAAGCCAGTAGTCATAAGCAAATGTACACTTTGAATTCCCCAGAGACACTCTGACTGTCATTTCTTTCTTCCCTCATCAGAACCTTTCTAATTTCTCTTGGGACACCTGAGCCTTGCACTATACTCCAGTACAGCTCTGGTTCATGTCTCTTCATGCCTGATTCTGAATGGTCATTCCTGCCCTTTCCAAAGGTTATTACAGGCACTGTTGGACTTCATGTGTGACTTTATGTTTCAGTTTCACTTGAGAGACTCAACAGAAACTGGGAAACATTTTATATGGAAAACGTGTTCAAGAAGGGAAGAAAGCCAAAATCAAACCTGTCCT